CGGTCTCTGTGGTGACAGCGCAGCGCCTTTACCCTCTAGACCACCAGGGGCTCCATCCAGGTCAAGCAAAGATCAGGGAAGTGATTTATTACACACAATGTTGGCTAAAAAGAATCCTTCTAGAATTTACCTGCTAAGGTTTACCAAGTCATCAACAGTGCTATGCAAAAGGAACAAGAAGTACAAAAGTAGATTGTGTCTGCCCTCTTCTTCCACATGGTCTCATAGTTTCAAGGAGGAGGTAACTGACTCTATCAACTGGAAGATCTTGAACTTCAAACTAAACTCAGCTAGTCTGGGGTCAATCCACATCTCTTGGAGTAAAAAGGCTTCTCAACCATCATATTGTTCTGAGCATCTTGAGTCTTATTCTCTGCAGCAGAAAACAAACTCAGCACGAATAACAAGACAGGTAGCTGGATCTCAATGCATTAAAAAGTTTGGCGAATTAAAGCCAAGCCTTTGTACATGGATCAAAGAGAAGGAAAAAAACCAAGGAGTCTATAGAGCTTTGGTATAATACGATGATGACAAATTTCACTGGAATGCCTTAAAATTTATGGGGTTTTAGCTCAGAGCCAAATCTGGCCCCAAAATCTTTAATCACAAATAATATGATTTTATTCTTATGCAACTGCTTCGGCAGGTACTTACATACACACATTAACAAAAATCTTTAGCTCAGTTACAGTTCTGGATAGGAAATTATCCTTTCCACTTCTGAAAACTGTAGTAACGTGACCAATGTTTTCCTGAGTCTTTTTCAGCTAGTAAATGAAAGTTACCAAGACTGGTTTAAGTTCATTTGTCCATAACACAGTATGCTCATTCACTTCTTGACACCTCTTTCAACTCCAGATGAAAAGTGCCATGAAAAGAGGCTAAATGATAGATTTTAGATCTTACCAGTCATCTGCTCGAAAAGGGTCAGAATCCACATCCTGGTGGCAGTACATGAAGCCACTCAGCCTGGTCACCTCTGTGGTTCCCAGTATTTCTGAACTATTGTTTTACAGTCTTCTCAGGTGATCCTTGTTACACATCCACTCTACTGAGGATTCCCTTTTTTCCTTCTCTCCCTTTAGGCACAGATCTCGAAAGCTGCCTGCCTACCTCCATATTCTGTCTGTCTGGATTTATAGCTTCACTTTTAGAGTCTGAAGCAAAGAGCAGTGAGATGAGCAATTGTAATGCCTTTGCCATGACGGAACAGAGAATTCAGCTGCCCAGCACAATCTCTGCAATGCCTCATTCACCAACATGTTGCACAAGATTGCAGCTGCTTTTTCCACCTGCTTTTCTTCTGAGAATTAGTATCTTAAGCCTCAAACATGCAGGAAAATTGATGCGAGTAGCATGAAGCATGTTTGTAAAGAGCAAACGTTTCATCCTGCTGGTGCTGGAAAAGAGGTGTGACAGAAGATTCCCTGATGGTTCGAGTGTTTATTTTTAAACCTGCCACAAATGTGTCCAAACTGGATGGACGTTAGGATACTGAGATATTCAAACTGCCTGTGAATAAAAAGCACTGTAAACTGAGCAAGGTCCAAGCTTCTAGACAGCACAAGAGACATCAACTTAGTCAAACCCAAGGGTGAGGGACTGGGACTGGCCCAGGCCTTTCCTGGAAAGGGGAGCCAAAAGTGTGGAGCTAGGCATCCTGGCAGGGCTTAGGCTCATTGTTCAGGCACCTATGGAGGGAGTGAGATGGTGATTGCTGCTGCTTGAATAGTCGGCTTCTGCTTGGACATGCTGCGCTGCATGTCTGACTCCACCCTGCAATACAGGAACAGCCCTCACTTTTCAGGGCTCTGGCATAGGCAAAGTGGGCAACAGAACCACAGCTATGTTCTTGTTCTCAAAAATCTGCTGCCAGAGGCAAGTGCCTCTGTGTCTTTGCCTGGAGAAAGCTCTTGAGGAAAAGTAACTCAGTAAATCCATGATACTGTAGCTAGAAGTCTTCCAGTGCCTGCACCAGCACACTTGAAGCTGTTTGAGGTATCTCCATCACATAGCACATGACACTGCTGTTGTAACAGCTATTCCTTGTTAGGTGGAGGACAGTGCCAGTACTTCAGCGGAGCCCTGGAGCAATACATTCTGAGTCAATAGATTTACAGCTCTTAGGAACTTGCAGTTCTCTCCAAGTGGAAAATTCATGTTATTCTATGTGTTTTACATGGTTTTAATGCTAAAAGGAATTAGAATGCTTCCTTCTCTTTTACAGTTACATCCAATCTTTACTATTTTCTACTTAACCTTTTATTTGATTTTCTTTACAGAGCTATCCAGCATAAAAAGACAAAATATAGACCAAAATAAGGAGAATATCCCTATATCAGGGTTTTGTTTATGATTAAAGAAGGTTCTACAGGACAGGATTTGAGAAGATAAGTTACATCATGTGCAGACTAAGGGAGGGCATTTACAAGGGGCAAGATGGGAAATGAGGCACTCAAAAGGGATAACAGCAAATGAGAAATGGAATTAGCAGAGCCCACGCGGTGCAGAGGAGGGACAGGTGATGAGTCACCCTGGCAGGAGGAGCAGAGCCTTACAAAGCGGATACAGGCTTTGAAAGCTATGCTGAAGATTTGGAATGAGGAATGGGTCTGAAAACGTATGTGGAGAGAGGGGGAAGGAGACGTAGGATATATCAGCCCTGCTCCTGAGAAGACACATAGTTCAAAAGGTTTATCAGATCACAGGTAACACCAGCAGCTATTGTAATAAAACACCTATGTGCACATGCCACATGATCTGATACAACTGTATGCAAAAAAATTGTTTGCCTGCTCTATAATCTATAGTATATCAAACTCTAGTAGTATATATACCCATCTAATCTCTGCTAGCTAGACCTTTTTCATAATGGCACAGTTAAAATTGGTGCCACAGAAATATGAATACAATTCAATCATTTCACAAATAGTTTATGCCCGTTTAACTGGAGGCTTCAATCAAAGTAAAGCTTTAGGAACTGACTGATCAATCTCAGCAGCAGCTCTGCTGCTATCCCCCACTGGTTGGGATTGCTCCAGTAGTAGTACTGGCATTTTAATGAACCCTGCCAATGAAGATAGACTGGAGATAGCACAGCAGGCTCTGCACTAGAGTGGTGAGAGTACAGACCCACCTTGCCCTGCCATCCCTGTGTTGGTAACAGCAACTGTGAGCAGAGGCATGGGAAAACAGCGGTTTCAACACCTGAAAGAGATGCAGTGAGGCCCAGGAGTGAGAGCCCTCAGATTCATGATCAAGAGCTATGCCTCACTAAGTTACACACCACACCTCAGCTGAGCCACCCCAACTGTCTCTGTGTGTAGCATTTACAACCTGATGTTTTCAGTTAAAAACAAACATCATTATGGATATAAAATCTGAAATCATGCCAAGTTAGAATGTGTGACTGGCACTTTATTAATGTTTACAGTGACTTATAAATAACAGCATCTCTTCTGCCACTCATCTGTCGAGAAGTCTCCTGCAGAAGCCAGAGAGCAGAGGAGAATCTGCTGGTATTTTAAGATGTTTCAGGCCAAAGTGGGAAAGGAAAGATATTTTGGGGCATTACATTGTATATCTCCTTATTGCACCACAACCCTCACGCGCGCATGCTTGGATAAATTTGCGCTGTGGAGCTGTAATTCCATTGTGGCTTTTTGACGTCTACTCAAACAGTATTAGCTTTGCTGTCATGTTTACAATGTAAAAAAATTTTGGTGAAAATGTCAGCAGGATTGTATCTTTAATCATATTTACTGATTGACCTGAAAAGGCTCAACGCAATTTAACTGGAACCCTTCAATGCAGCCACGGTCAGGTTCAGCCGATGCCTGTTCCTAGCACTGCCTGGAGCCCTAGTTTCTCAAGTAGCTTTTATGTCTAGTGTCCTTGAAGCCACTTGACTTCCCTGATATTTCTCTTTCAGCTCTTCCTTATTACAGCTAATAGAATACGCTACACAGCTAGAGATGGTTACTCCTAAGTAATATGAGGGCTTTAATAGATAATCTCTGGAGCAGAAAATTCATCTGCTCGCCAGTGCCTGTTGCAGTTTGCTGCTCTCTGACCAGTCCTGTTCAGTGATGAGATCCCTGTACAGTCGGTGTGGAAAGGTGCAGCCTGGTCCCCGAGGCCCTCTGCAGCTGTGCTGTCCAACTGCTCCACAATGACATTGTCCAAGTTTCTTCACCACAGCTGGGATTTGTCCCCTATCCCCAGAGGCCGGGATCCCCAGCAGCACCCAGTGCGGCGCAGGACGGAGAAGATGCCCCACGCCCCGCTTGGTCGCAGCGTCCATCCTCGGGGGCTCGGAGGCTTGCGAGAAGGACCACGGGGAAGGGCCGGCTGCGGGGGCACCGGGCGGAGTATCTGCCCCGGAGCGGCCCGGCGGCCGCACACAAACGCCCCGCCGACCCCGCACAGCCCCGGGCAGGGCAGGGACCGGGGTGCCCCCTCAGCGCGGAGCCGCGGGGCGGGGAAACGGCGGCGCCTCTGGGGGCTGCGCTCCGGCGGGGCGCTGGGCTGGGGGCGAGTGGGAGCGTGTGTGTGTGTATATGTGTGTAAAGGGCGGGCTCCGCCCGGGGGGGGCGTATGGCTGTGCCTTGCGGTGAACTCTGTCAGAGGGATGCCCGTGCGCCGGAGGTGCAGAACTCGCCGTCTGCGGACGAGTGAGCCCGGGGAGGGGGCGGCGTGCGGCGGGTGCGTGTGCGGGGCGGTGCGCGGTGTGTGTGCGGGTGTGTGCCCGTAACTGAGAGAGCGTGCAAGTGTGCGAGAGTGCGTGTGTGCCGATGTGCCAGTGCGGGTGCCTGCGCGGCTGTGAGTTGTGTGCGGGGGCGGCGCGGCCGAGGGGGCGCAGGGCGGCGGGGGGCGCAGGGGCGGGCCGGCGGCCGCGGCGCTGCTGGCCGCGGTCCAGCCCGGCGCACTAATACAGCCTGGCGGCTCCCGCCTGACTGACGCCGGCTGGGGCTGCTGCCGCTGCCGCCGCCGCTGCTGCTGCTGCTGCTGCTGCGCTCTGGCTCCGCCGCCGCCGCCGCGCAGCTGCAGCCCCGCTCCCGCCCGCGGCGCGCCGAGACCCCAGCCCGTGCCTGCTGGCAGGTAAGAGCCGGGGCTCCCGCCCGCGTCCCGGGAAGGGCGGAGGGGGTAGCAGGGAGGGATGGAGGACAGTCCCGCCGCCGTCGCCCCAAACTTTGCAGCGGCGCTGCCCCGCGCCGTATCCCCCCGGCTGGCGGCCCCGGCCCCGCTGAGCTGGGGCGCTGTGCGGGCGGGGGCTGGGGCCGCGGAGCAGCGAGATGAGACAGACCGACGCCAGGGCGGCGAGCGAAAGGAGGAGCGCGGGGAAAAACATTTTTATGGATGGCTAAACGCTGACAAGTCTTCCCGCTGTCAGAGTTTTTTTCCTTCTCGTTTAAGTGGGAGAGGGAATAAAAGAAAACGAACAACAGAGCCCCGCATGACACGTTTGGAAATACTTCTCCTTTCAAAGGTTATTTTCTGTTCAAGAAATCCCGCTCCTGGACTTTTTGCTCCCAGGCAAAACGGAGCAGAATTACTGGGATTTGAGTTTTTTATTCCAGCTACTAACGGTGACTCTAATTGTTTTGTTGTTGTGTTCTTTTGTGGTTTTTTAGCTCTTAGGTTCAAACGTCATATGTTAGCAAGTACCAAACATTTCCAAAAACAATAGCCCTCGATATGGCAAATTAGAAATCACTGTAATTTTATCTCCATGCCCAGGCAGCTCTAAGTGGAGGGAATTCAGAGTTCGGCTCATTTGGAACAATTCGGATATTGTGTGGTAACTTTGATTTTATGGGTAAATTTATTTGATGCTAGCCAGGTCTGGCTTAAAAGAGGCATTAGTGGGAATGAAAATAAATCACGCACACATGGACGTGCGTGCACGCTCACACGCACACACACACACACACGCACACATGCGCTTGCTCTGTTAATTACTTGGATTTTATAAACTAGTGAAAAAAAATTTCAGCCCCCAACGATCAACTGTTCAGGGAATGAGCTCTCCCTTGGCAGAGGTGAGAAATGATGTGCACGGCTCGGGAATGTATTCAAGTTGGTAGTGGTTTGGAAAGGACACTGCAGATAATGCAAGTTTCAATGCTCTCTATCTCCGAGGCGTGAAAGTGTGCCTCTCTTTACACAAGTATTCGTGTAGTAGAACTAATCTTCTCATCTTCAGTAGTATAAACTGAAGAAAACGCTGCAAAATTCTTCCCCTCAGCAATGGTAGGACAAATGTCATCACTCAAACAAACCTCATCCGTTTTAATCCAGCCAGACAACTCCCTTCTTTCAGATTTGATAAGTACCAGTGTCTGGCTGGTTCATCTTTGCTTCCTGTTAGATTTTAAAGCAGAGGCTGGGGAGGTTTGTGGTTTGTTTGTTGGTTTTTTTAAATATTGAGTTAATTTGGCTTAGTAGCTAAAATAAACATGCCCAAAAATACATTTAAAGTCAGTTGTATCAAGGATATCGTGTATTTACTGAGTTTGGCACTGGTTCCCAATCCTGCCTGTCATTTGTAATGGAATTAGAAACCTTTTTTCTTCACTTGGTTAACTTGCACATAAGCTAATAAACGGTAATTCTGGAGTAAGGATCATGTCTGTTTTATCATGAATCCTTATCATATCCGTATGATATACACAAATTGGGAGATTTACCAATTTATGTATCACATCAATATCAAGATTTGTAAATTGATGTGAGGTGGAGATAGTATGAATGTGAAATGAATATGCACAAAGCCGTCAACTGCACAACTTTGTGAAGGAGTATTAGTACTTTATTAACACACTTGCCCAAGACTACATGTGCCAGATATCTGCAGAAGGTGGGGATGTGTGTAGAGGAACTAGGTAACACCTCAGGTTTGAAAGCTACTCTCACAGAAACTGGTAGTCGTGCACTGTCTCGCCTTCAGTGGGTACAAGAGGAGGCCCATTTCGCTAAAACAGGAGTGTAGAAGTGTCAGTATAATGTATCACATAACATCTGGACAGTTAATCCTCCTTTCTCTCCTTTTATTCTTTTGCAGACCTTCTGCATCTCACATTTGAATCCTTAGTTATCTGCTGTTATCAGTCTGGGAGATAGTGTGTCATGTAATCTTCTCTCCTGAATGCTAAAGTGCTGTAATTTTAATGGCCAGGCTAATCTGTCGCTATAAAGTTTTATTTTTCCATTGTTAAATTCAAAGGACAATGGCTACTAATTGCAAGTGACCTCTAACCAAAACACTAGCTGGAGTTTATCACCAGTGCTGATAGTGACTAACAGCAATTCCAGCATCAGCACTACTAGGCACCCTTTTGAAAGAAACTTTAAAGAATAAGGGGAGCCAGAAGAAAAACATATATATGCTCTAGGTAATTTGTCTGCTGCAAAAAATACAGTGAAAGTGTACAGATATTCCATTTGCTGTGCAATATACCTTTTACAAATAATAATTACAGGGAAGAAAACAAAAACAACCCATCATAAATATTTTAACTGAAAACAACACACCAAAAACATACTCCAGAAAGATTGTTCTCTTAGACTGCCTGATTTCCTGCTACAGGCATGTATAAAGAATCATTAGTGTTATTATACATGAACACCAAAAGATAGCAATAACAATGACAATTTTAAATAATCATTGCAGTCCTATTACTGTCTTCGAGAACATTGGTTTTAAGGAAGCATTAGACTCTGAATAGAGTACAATGAAATTAATTTTTTAAAAAATCCCAAATTATTTCCTGTCTTATATTTTGTCTATAATGTTTGAATGGTTAATACTGTGGGAATTTTACAGACAGGTGACTTAAAGAGTCTTGGGCCCTGTGTGTTTATCAGCACAGCTAAAAACCTTGCTGTGCTTTTGCAGATGAGTGGATCTAATAGATTGTGGGATCAGAGCCCAGATTGAGATCCTGACTAATACATGTTTGCATTTAAATCAAAACATTATCTGCCCAAATGTTGTGTGGATACATGTGATTTTTAGACAAGATTGTTCTACAGGACCACTTGCAGATTTCTGCAGGAACTATTGCAACATCTTAGACAGATGTAAGGTTGAGCAGTTCTCTTTGAGGTTAGGCTCCTCTGGACAAGGGCACATCAAGGACACGGTGGAGGTGGACATAGAGCAGAGATTTCCCAATTTATGCAGTCACCCCTACGTAAAAAAAAAAAAAAAACAAAAACAAACAAACAAACCAACCAAACAAAAAACCCCAAAACTGAAGAAGAAAATCTGATAATTAATTTCTATTTTTCTGAGACAGCATTAAGATTGAGGTGTGTTTCTGATTGGGCGGAGCAATGCCTTATCTTTCCCACATCCTCTCTCTAGACCTTGTTTCCTTTCCACTCTTTTTCCTTGTCAGTAGCATCACCCTCCTCCCTTCTGCCAAACTTAGCATCATCTTTGCCTCTTCTGTTTCTCACAGGTCTTGATACTTCCAGATACCTCTTGACACTTTTTCTTCATGTTGCTTCTTACATTCCTCCTTCCTTTTGTTTGCAGCTGCCAAAGCATTAGTCCACACTGTGGCAACCTTCCAGCTTGATACTGCAACCTCCAGTTTCCCAACAAGCTCTTTTCTCCCACCTGCATTCTGCTCCCAGTCAGCATGACCCATGCCAAGATCCTACAGCTTTTGCTTTTCTTTCTGGAACATCCTCTTTTCTGGAGTATCTGTACGCCTGGTCTTTTTGTAGGCTTTGAAAATGTTCCCCACATCAAGAGTTCCCCAGAGCTACTGGCCTCAAACTCAGTGTCCATCCATTAAAAGGGAGAAATGAGGAGGAAAGAAAATTAATAGACGCACCCGGGTCATTAGAGTTTGTTCTGCTTCAGGCTTCCCTTCACCCTTATTACCTGGCTACAGTAGGAGGCAGATTGGCCGTTTCTTGATAATGGTGGTTCTGTGTTTGTTCGGTCTGGTGGTGTGCTTGGTCAGGCAGCCGTGCTGTGCAGAACAGCAGGCAGGAGCTGGCGATGGAGAGGCTCTTTCCAGAAGGCGACATCTGCAAACAGCAAAGCTCCACGTAATGAAGACTCCTTTGTAACCTGAATAACCCTGATGATGAGGTCAATACATTTCAACAATACCTAATCTTTTTTTGTGTGTTTTCTTGCTGTGCCTTTCCTTAACAAAAATCCCTTTTTTTTTTTTTTTTTAAACATTCCTGTGCAGTGTTCTCTATTCAGGAGAGTTCATAGTGCATTACAAAGCCATCCCTGTCAGGGTGCCTGTAAGACAGATGCAGAAACCGAGGCACCTGAGGGAAAGCCACTCACCCAGAGGCCTGTGGCAGGAGGTGATCCCACACGTTAACCAGTAGATGCAGAACTGACTGGAGGCACAAGCAGTTCATGTGGCTTTTCAAGACTCTCTTATGGTTACTTGCTGGTCTTGTCTATCCAAACCTACTTGTCTCTGTCAAATTACTCTGGCCCAGCTGCCAATGTGCAGTTTCTTACCCTGCAGCATATATGAGGTATCTAATTTATCTCTCTCATCAACAGACCTTGAATTACTTCACACAGGGCATGAGGCCTTCACAGAGACATCTAGAGCAGAGAAACCAAAATTCATTCCTGTGTGAGGCTGCAGTCTGCCCTGCTGCATGTCCTATAGGACCAACTCAGGCTTCTTGGTGGCGGCTTCCTTGCGACCCTTGGGCTGTAGGGGCTGCATGGGCCAGAGCTGAGTGCTAGAAGGGGAGAAGAAGGAGAAAAACAGCCCTGGAGAGAGGGGGTATTCCTTGCAATCCTGGAGTGGATTTACAGAGGAGTGATATGTTGCTTTTAAAGAAACAGGACCCAATTTGTGCCTTTTGCTTGGTGTTTTCCAAAGCTGGTAGTTAACACAACATGTCACCTTACATGCTGAAGAGAATCCAGCCCTGGTTTTACACTCCCAGGCTCAAATACAGGCATATGAAGCCTCTTTAATCTCAGTAGCAAGTGTTCTGGTTTAGAGAATCTGAGCACTCACATCTTCAGCTGAAGTCACTGGAAATAGCCAGCCGTCTTCTCCTTTCCCCCCACACAAGGAAACTAGATAGACAAGTTCTTT